CAGAAACTTCCCGATTGCCTTATTGATAGCAATATCCATGGTAACAATCTCTTATGTTCTTGTCAACGTTGGATTTCTCACKGTCCTCAGTCCTGAAGAAGTGATGAACTCTAATGCTGTAGCAGTGGTACGTTGAACGTCATATTCAAATAATTTAGGAATACGCATTAGGATATTTCAAGAGCTATAAGTCAAGCTGATCTGATCACTACGCTCACTCGTGAGAGATCTTTTAAACACTCGAAAATAAAATCCGTATCCCGCGCCCATGTAATATCCTCTATTTATTCAGCATAGATCGAAACTGGAGTCATWATTGAAAATGATTTATACTTTTGATAGACAATGGCTAATCGCCTGTACGGTGTCATGGCATGGATTATCCCGTTYCTGGTCTCCTGTTCTGTTTTTGGCTCAGTGAATGGTTCTGTATTTTCTGGTGGTCGGTAAGTCAGACAATCATGATGTTCTCCAACTGTCAGACGAGACAATGGAGTATGCGTCCTTGGAATTAGTRCCATTGCTTGCTGTGGCTGTCGTAGCGGCCTAATTCAGGATAATCTGAACGGTTATCTGTCTTACTGCATAAACCTTTTCTGAAATACAAAATCATAGTGCGTTGTGGTCAAGCTTCAGCACATACAAAGCCATATTTTGCAGCATGAACAAAAGCTCAGATGTTTGTGCTGACCTAAACCACAATGCAATGCAAACTGCTACCTCAGAAAAGGCCTATTGCCTTCGGTCTCGAGCTGGCCTCTCAGCTCACATGAGACGCTGCTACCTCACACCTCGGCTTTGACAGTCAACATCGAAATTCGATGGACAGCCCACAGCCCATATTGCCTGTGAGGGAGAGAGATTTTATGTATCTTCACGTTTTTTTCTGAATTTCCCATCATTTCGTGTTTTTTTTAATCTAAATAAAGTTATAGATAATTCATTCTGATAAGACTGAAATGAATATTCGCATGCTATCATTGYTCTCATGCAGACATTGTACATGTTACTTACATAATAAACTTGCTCGTTAGCAAACTTCAAAAAACTTTTTCGATCCAGTCCCTCCAGTTCCCCTCCCCTATTTGCTTTCGGAATAATCTTTGTAACCTGTACAATAACTAAAGAATTATCATTTTATCAGGCGAATGGGGCCTTAGCGATGGCTGATTTTGGACTATTGTTTAAATTAGTTTGGTGTTCGCCGCTGCAAGAGAAGGACATTTGCCTAAAATTCTGGCCATGATACATACCGACCAACGTACCCCCATACCTGCGATTATTTGGACTGTGAGTATTTTGATTGGTATCCTGATCTCAAATGATTTGTAAGATGTGAAGAATAACGAGCATTTGATGCACCGATTTAATAAAAACTATGCAAAACTATCGCTCTATGCCACGGAATCCACAGCGTTCCTGAAATCCAGATTCCAAGCTCCTCGRTTCCTGATTACTTGAAAAATTTCCCAAGCATTCATAGTGGATTCAGAATGCATACTGTAACTTTTTTRTGTGTCGCCACTAACTAGTTTATAATTAGGAACAATTTAAGTCAATACGCTTTAGATTCCGTCTTGTTTCATTTGGTTCCGTTTCCATTCGCATGGATTCTGGATTCCAAATGTCTGTATTCCAGATTCCAAAACCAAAATTTTGCCGGATTCCGAATTGCTTGTCATGCGGTGAAATCAGACAAGCAAATAGACATGCAGCAAGAAAACATAAATCAACAACCGAAACTACGAGAGCTAGTAACTGGTGGTATGTCTTGACTCATTTATCTATAGTTTGTAGTAACTGTCATCTTCGTGATCCCAAAGATGGCAACGATTGGTAGTTTAGTGACTGCATTYAGTACTTTGGTGTGGTTCAACTATGGCGTAACGCTATCTGGTCTTTTATGGATGAGATACAAAAAGAAAAACGCCCATAGACCATATAAGGTATGGTTACTAAATTGAYAAAGGCATTTTGAAAGAGCARCAGAGCTATTAAAATTGGGGGGTAGAGTGAAACAAAATCTGAGCCATAAATCTTTGGCTTTTTTMATTTTCAATGTTCTGACTCTTTCTTTCTCATATCATTAATTATTCATGAGGTATCCAGCCAATCCCTGATTGTAATTTTGCCACGTGCAGTAACTGGAACCCAGAGAAAGTTACTCCTAACTTGTATCCAGTTCTACGTTATTTCCAGTTACTGTTACCTTATTTCCAGTTACTTCTACCTTATTTCCAGTTACTTCTACCTTATTCCAGTTACTTCAACCTTGTTTCCAGCTTCTACAAGCTAATAATAATCAAAGTATTAGAAATAATCAATTTGATGTAGAATTAATTTAGTGAAAAAAGTTCTTTGATACACGACTGCCTCGCGAATCGATACTCAATCGTCCAGTCTATATGCGCCGTCTTATACCATTACACCACCGAGTTTCTGATGCGATTACACGCAAGATAACATACTTATAAATCTTATGAATTTACGGGATTTTAAGTCCTTATTGTCGGTCTTTAAACATTACATCCAAGTCTTTAGTATAACACAGTCATATAAWGATACAATCATTTATAGTATAAGGGACCGACACCCAGTCTCACTCAACTGGAAAGCTAAAATATAATCCCTATGCTTTCTCCATAGGTTTTCATAGGATTTCCCTGTTTGCTGATACTTCTTTCAATATACCTGGTGGTAGCGTCGTTCTTTGGTGCTCCTATAGGATCCATCCTCGTATTTGGTTATATATTAATTGGAATACCTGTGTACTTTGTATTTATACRCTACAAACTTGTACCAACTGGTTATATTGGTAAGTCAAAGTCAGTCTTAGTCTTTGTTAGCTGTTRCCACTCAGTTTATAGCGCCGGATTACAACTACATATTGTATTGTGATCTATCAAAGATTGGTGTCGAATGATCTTACGTCGTGTGACTTGTGTACTTTGGTCCATAGTAGTAGCTCCAGGATCCAGTACCCAGCCGTTACTCTTTTTTTATYTTTGTTACTCTCCAAGAGTTCTTCGAAGTCAATCCGTTGCGCGCCGCCCAAACAGCCCGATAGAGTTAGGCGATCGCCATTCATTCAGTACTGATCGGCAAAAAATTGTCGATAAAATGAGCGATAGAATGACAAGAAAATTGTCAATGTTAGAGACAATTGCACACATGTGGCCATCGGTGGGGAAAGTACATTGTGTTTTTGTTAAATGCCGGACGCGTTCGATGATAGGGAGAACAATTTGAGRTGTATAAAACAATATATTTCTTTAGAGCAGATCTCTAGAACAGTGGTATGTAGTCTCCTTCGAAGCCTCTCCTTTTGTCGCGCTTCCTGTCCCTCAAAAGGGGAGGCTGCGAAGGAGACTAAGTGGTACGAGAATTAGATCACGTCACGTACAAGTTGATAACCTAAAACTTTTATGAATGCGATAAACCTCAATCAGTGAAAACAATATCACTAGTTCCTTCTAAATATTTATATAGCGAATTAAGGAAAATAAATCAAAATTGCATACCTTCCCAGTCGTGTAGCATGTGACTCAATCACATGCACTAAGCAGCGCATGCGTGGAGCCAGTCTGGCCGATTTCAAAATTGGAAGTTTTTAGTGCCAATTTTGAAATTAAACAATTGAAAAAACAAATAGAACAATAAAATAGACAATTAGGGTCGATGTCCCTTATGGACAGCGTTTTGTCATGTATTAGTCTCAACTTTGATCGCATCAACCTTAGTTGAATGGGTGTACAACTTATTTAATGAAATTTCATTTAATTCCAGATAAGATGACATTGTGGCTTCAGAATCTTCTTAATGTTGCTTTTCCAAAATCTGAATCRGATTTGATGTGATGCCAGGTATTATCTAGGTGTATCTACATATACAACCAACGTTTGAATAGTCAAGCATTTCCACACTCCTGGAGGACTCTGACAAGTGCTTCCGACTGTTTGTAAACGCTCATACAAGAGGAAATAAACTTCTCCTTGAGACTTTGGTCTAAATAACAAACGAGAATACCTCTCTAGACTAGTAGTTTATAGACTTCAGTTGGAGAAGYACCAATTTGCTCGTTCATAGAACATTTTGTCCCAGCAAAATTACGCAGAAAACTCTTACCACTGTTGTATAATTTCTTTGATATTTATCCCTCTATAAGGATTTATTCCATGTATCTGGTGAATAAGGCTTCCGTCCATCAATTCTAGTGTTCAATATACCTTTAGGTTATAAACTTTTAGGTCATATACCGTATGCGCAATGCATTGTTGGATATGTTTTGGGCAAAACATGGTTGATTTTGTTTGTTTTTTCTAGAAACTGATCTCACAATTCTCAGTTACAAGTCAAGTAGTCGTAAAAGCTTGAGAAGTCTATTTGGATATAAGACGTCGCGTTACGCTGTTTTAGTTTGAACTTTGTACAAATTTATATTCAGTTATACATGCAAACGCATAATTAATTCATTAAAAATCGACCTAACCCATTACAAACACCTAATTACCACACATGATTGTTCCAACGCATGCGCATGCAAGTTCTTCTGAACTCTAACAGAGCGGGATCATAGGGTCTGGGACTTTACTAGAAAATTCAAAATCACAAACTCCTTTAGGCTTGGTAGAAGTAATAAGCATACGCTCCGCACCAAGTCGCATAAAAAAGAAAAGAATTCCAAACGAACAAAGTTGCGAAGCGTCCAATTTCTGTTCTAAGGAACTGTTTATTAAATATGCCTCAGGGTGGCCTGGAGGAAAAGTAAAAAAACCTTGGGAATATTCGCAGCCCCCCTTACTCTATCATAATATTTTTAGTCGAGCACCCCTCCTTCTGACATTGAGGAAAAATAGCCACCCCCATATATATATATAGCAATGTAAAATAGTCAATCCTATAGGCAAATTTTTTACACACATATATATGTAAGCATCATATCTCGAACATTGTTTGTTTAATAACATGAAATTTTAAGTCGCTATCCTGCGTGTTTGAGTCGTCTTGTAGTTACTACTTGCTGTACAAGTATATAAGTAATTGTACAACGCAGATAGACATACTACTTTTTCAATGGACATAGACAGTTGACACTCTTGTTGCTGATCTGCATGCCAGACCTTGTCATAGTTGTTTCAAAAGAAAAAGAAAAAGAAAAAAAAATGAAAATATCTTCAAGTTTTTTAGTTAAAAGATCTAAGGATTTAGAGACTTTAAAAGTAGTCACAAAGAAATCAAGTGAATGCTTATGTACATAGACCTCAATAAAAAAGAAATTAAAGTTGTTTGTTTAAAATGATCATTGATAAGAAGATGTATAATATAAAAAAAATTATATTGATATCATATATTATATATACTTTAATTTTGTGTTTCAGCTAGCAAAAGCCCCCCCTTTCATTKACTGTTTATTTTTCAAAGCCCCCCTACATTTCCTCCAGTCCCCCTAGGCATAATTCAGTAATGAATGGTCCTTAATGATGACTTCAGATCGCGAAGAAGTTAGCTTTCCTCTTGCAGGCCATTCAGTGCAAGATAAAGCTATCACCCTCAAAAGATCCTTGGGTATTCCTAGTGGTGTAGCTCTTCTTGTTGGTACTATCATTGGATCAGGAATCTTTGCTACTCCAAAATGGGTTTTGATCTATTCAGGATCTGTTGGTCTGTGTCTCGTCGTCTGGATWCTRGGWGGKYTTATAAGTCTTCTCGGCGCTCTATGTTTCTTAGARCTTGGACTRTTGATYCCAAAATCTGGCGGCGAATATCAATATTTGATGGAAGCGTTTGGTCCTCTGCCTGGCTTTTTGCTCATTTGGACTTGGCTTGTAGAAAGGTCGCTAACWGTAGCCATCATGATGCTTATATTTTCGTCTTACGTCATTGAGCCCATATTTCCGGGTTGTTCAGCTAGAGAAGACTTGGTACCTCTGCAGAAGATTATTGCTGTGGGTGCATTAGGTAAGTCTTTGAGAAAGATCGGTTCGCTTGCGCAGTGACCCGTTTCTTCTCTGAAGTTAAACGCAAGCTTTAAATAGCTAAAACAGCTTAAAGTTGCTAGGGTATTTTCCAATTATTTCAAAGTATGACTCGTAATTTTATCTTGTTTATAGTACTTTCACTAATAAAATAGTACTCATTCAAGAGAAGTAAAATTAACAGCGTTAATTGTACTCCTCAAAATTATCAATTAAGTCGCCATTTTGTACTTTAAAAATTCAAAATATGCTATTATAACAATTCTTAAACGCGTCTCTTTGATGTATTTTAGTTTCTATTAACAAAATTCATGGAATGAAAACCAACACCAAAGAAAAAAGCTCGAATGAACGCGTATTATGGTCGTAACGAGTCTTTATAATAATAATATTGTATAATTTTGTTTCACTGAATGTGCTATATTTATGTACGTATTTATGTACGTATTTATGTACGTATTTATGTACGTATTTTTGAAAGTTCTCAAATTGCATCCGACCTATCGTGCTCGAAGGTCGTACGACGTCCTATACTAATCTTAATTAGTATAGGAAATTTATATGCAGACAAGAGCCACGTCGTGGAACACACTGTGTCAGGGTTATGTTAAGAAAACTAGTGTATTTTAAAAAATTAAAAAAGAAAGAAAGAAAGAAAAAAAAAATATGCTCGAGTCGAGATTCGAACCCACAATCTTCAGTTCGACGCCGCTGTTCGAGTATCATCTTGTTTCTAAAATTTAACAAACGACTCATAAATATTAATAAAACAAATTGCTACGATGTATATCTAACATGACTAGAACACCTACATTTCAGTTAAAAAAAGAAAGAAAGAAAGAGAGACAAAAAGTTTTTTTTTCAGACGTGCTTGAGTCGAGGATCGAACCTGGGAACCTGCGATCCTGGGTCCTAGGCCTTGGGATTGCTAAACTGCGACGTGACAAAAAAAGTTGCTGTATTTTATAACTGTGCCGCAAAATAATTATTTAGAATTATGAAATTTCAGTGCTTTTAATACACTATTAGGTACTATCGTTTTGGTCAACTGCTTCAGTGTTAAATGGTCGAGTAGAGTACAGATTGTATTTACAGTCGCTAAGATGGCTGCTATTGTGATGCTTATTTTGACTGGTATCGTMAGGATTTCTCAAGGTAACTAAACTTAGATAGTGTAGCAATTGTAGTGAAATGTTTTTTTTTTTCAAAAAAACAAGCAAACAATAAAGCAGYAACTCCACGAAAAAATCAAAAAATCTTTTTACAATATCCGAAATTTAATATATTACTTGAATCCTATATCCTATATATTACCTATATAGGTAAAACTCACCAGTTCATGCCAAAAAGACCACTCCGACAAAAAAAGCGGGAAATTAAATGCATCTGCGACGCGCGCGTCAGTAACCGGATGTAGCGAAACTWGTGCGGSAAAAGTCTCAAGAGTAGTTGGAATTTTAGCATGACATTTGAAATTTCGGAACTTTCAGACTTCGCTTTCTTCGTAATTCGATTTATTAGCTTACAAATAGTTGGTAGAGGGAAACTATTTCCTGTATGATGTTTTTTAATATGCTCGTTTGAGAATTGATGGAAGGCGGACATGACGGAAATAGTAAAAAAAAAAAAAAAATGTTTTGTTTTACAGGATATACTTCAAGTTTTTCCAATCTCTTCAGAGGTACAGARACGAGAATTGACGTTGTAGGATTCGCCTTTTACAGCACAATGTTCTCATATGAGGGCTGGTAAGATGCGCTTTTTGTCGATATAGAAGAAATGTTGACATGCTTTTTTTAAGAAAGAAATGGTAGCGCCCGCACGGTATACGCAGCTAATTAGAACAGTGTGTAAACGAGGCCTTAAGACTAAGACCGCTATCTACAATCATCACAACACTTAAAAGAATCTGTGTTGAAGTGAACGGCACACACTTTGCTTTCCATTGTTAACTTAAAAGAATTTCAAAGACTTTGCACTTTCAAAAGCACAGTGTTCTAATCATGTCCTAAAATTCCTGTTTTTCTTTTAGGAATAATGTCAACTATACTATCGAAGAATTGAAGAATCCCAAAAGGTCAGTATTCAAYTGRCCATTCMGCKAAATTCAAAAAGGGACTGGTTCCAATCACAAACCTGATGCAGTTTGAAGCAATAAAGACATGGATTCCATGATAAGAAAGTCCATACTCAAATTTGATAGCTGTAGAGTTTGGCGGTGTTTAAATAAATAATAACATAGCAGCAAGCGTTTTTAAAAAATTCGAAAAAAATCATAAGAGAATGTATGGAGCCTTTGAGCAGCGATTCCGAAAACCGTACATTCTCTTTTCCTTTTTGCACATTTAACAAGATTGTTACTCGGTGTTTATTCTGYCTTGAACATTGCACTATATTTGTAGTATGCTATTTCAGGTGATTGGACTCGATTTTCAACACTGTAGACTATTTTCATACTCGTTGCCAGCATCCCTTTCTTTTCCCTATCCTTTTGGAAAGACTGTTTGTTTTATTTGATATTTCACTGCATTTGTTTCATTGCGATATGTAGCTCATTTTAACATTACATTCATTACAGAAACTTTCCAATTATCCTGCGAATTGCCATCTCAATTGTAACAATCTCGTATTTCCTTGTCAACGTTGGGTTTCTGACCGTCCTCAGTCCTGAAGAAGTGATTRACTCTAACGCTGTTGCAGTGGTAATGTGCMAATCATTGTAGCTGAATCAAACGGCTGAAKTTCTAAAATGTTTTATTTATACACTGGCTATTTTAATAACGGCTACTTAARCTACTAMAATTGCATGTCTCCCCTAGACAATGGCAAATCGTCTCTTTGGCGTCATGGCGTGGATTATGCCTATCCTGGTTTCTTGTTCTGTATTTGGTGCTTCCAATGGCGCAGTGTTTTCAGGTGGACGGTGAGTCATCATTTACATTTTTAGGTTAATGACATAATAGAATATAAGAGATACACCATCCTTGGGAACCCAGGGGTAATCTTCTGTCGTTCGTTCCTCACTCCCAGAAAAAAATATCTTTTCTGGGAGTAAGGAACGAACGACAGAAGATTACCCCTGGGTTCCCGAGGATGGAGATACACCTTTCTATGACATTGAACTAATTCATGGTTTAATACCTTAAATTAGCGTGATATTTGCCGCTGCAAGAGAAGGACATTTGCCTAAACTTCTGGCCATGATACATACCAGCCAACGAACCCCCATACCTGCTATTCTGTTCAATGTACGTTTGTGGAAAATAACTGATAGTCAATATTTCTATTTCTCTTCCTCTACATATATATTCAAGGGAATATATGTATAATAAATAGAACATTACCTGGCCGCTTAGAAATACTAATTTTATCTTCTCGTATGTTCGCTACSCTCACTCGTGAGATATCGATTGAACACACGAAGATAAAATTAGTTTTTCCGCGAGTCCATGTAATATCCTATATATATATGTAATTTTGGATATATTTTTAGATATTTTCTAGTTTTTTCATTATTTTAATTTTCTTCGGTTTCTTTGTGTGTGTTTTTTCAATATAGCACTATTGCTGAGTGAATTATAAAATATTATTATTATTGTTGTTGTTGTTGTTCACTGGAAAAAATCGCGCGCTTTAAAGGTTGTAAATTTGATGTAAATATGATGTAAGTGTCCAAAAGTCTTTAAATTTGATGTAAATGATTTCCATTTAATTTACAGAATTTTGGACACTTACATCATATTTACATCAAATTTACAACCTTTAAATCGCGCGATTTTTCCAGTGATTATTATTGGAAAAGATCTGAAAAGAGAGTTAATTAGTAAACAAAAGGAGCATCTGGTTAATCAGGCTCCTGACGCAAGCTTTATTTCGAATTGCAAAAGAACGAACAACATTAAAAAAACCCCGATAAAACGACATTCTTTTATTATTATGTGTTTATGTGTTTAGTTTATAGTAACTGTTATTTGCATGGTCCCAAAGAAGTCTACAATCAGTTCCTTGCTGTCCGCTCTTTCTGCTTTGATGTGGGTTATCTATGGCTCCACATTGAGTGCTCTTTTGTGGCTGAGATATAAAAGGAAAGACGCCCACAGACCATACAAGGTACTTATGGTCCACATCGTTATATATRCAAAAGTTACTCTTTATCATCCCTTTATGCTCCATAAGTGGAAATCTTGTAAGATTCGACCTTTTAAGGTCGAAAAAAACGACGGATGCGAAGAATTGATATTTGAATTTTTCTATATATGCCGGAAAAATCTATAACACGACCGCATTGAATCCTGGTGTGCCACGGTCCTTTAACAGTTATTTGACTCGTAAAGAATCTGCTCCAAATAGACCTCTGTAGCTTTTACGTCATGTACCGTATACGCAATGCATTGTAGGACATGTTTGGGACAAAACATGGCGGATTTCTTTTGTTTTCTCTTGAAACTGATCCCACAATGCATTGAAAATCAAGTAGTGACGTAAAAGGTTCAGAAGTCTATCGGGCGACTGATGACGCACAGCGTTACTTTTAAACTACTGAAAAAATGAACATAAATTAGAGTCTCTACGACAAACGAGGCACTTGACGGTCCACACCGATAAATTGTAATGTCAAATATGTCATATTATACCACAATGGAGTTTTGTGCACAAGGCGTTGCCGAGCATATTGAGCAAAAGTATTTCTACTAACATATATTAATATTTGAGAAAACAATTCTTGTTCTCTCATCTGACATTTCCATTGTCAGTAAATAACAGGAGTGACTGATTCAAAACTAGCAATCAGAAAGTCGTTCTTCTAAACTAGCTCAGACTGAAGAAGGTTAGACCTTGAAGTCAGACTGAGCACATATCATCCCCCCCCCCCTTGGCTCCCCCCCTAAAAAGCAATGTTTGAAACTTTGTCATAACGCCCGGTTGACCACTTTTTATGATCATTTTTTAAGGTTTTCATAGGATTTCCCTGTTTGCTGATACTTCTTTCAATATACCTGGTGGTAGCGTCGTTCTTTGGTGCTCCTATAGGATCCATCCTCGTATTTTGTTATATATTAATTGGAATACCTGTGTACTTTGTATTTGTACGCTACAAACTTGTACCAACTGGTTATATTGGTAAGTGAATGCCAACGGMAACAGACTAGAATGTGGTTGGTCTAAAGTTAACAGCGTGCTCTTAGGACCCTTTCCATTTGAGAACTKACTAGCCATACCCAAAGAGAATTCCATTAGTTAACCCTTCCATTTCCGGCAGAAGACATGATTTTAATGGAAAACTTTAAAAATTTCTCAACGAAGACATGATTTACTTCTAAATGGACCGGTCTATYCGGMAGGTTTCTGCCAAACTGGAAAGCGCCCCTGGACTATCACGGAAATCCTTATTATTAGTTTTCAAGTACTATGGTTTTCCTACTTTTTTAAAACTCAAATAAGWTAAGTCACATAATTATAGAAGTGAACTTTGAACTGCTGAATCAGTTTGATGACAATTTTGTTTTCCTTTTTGACTTTTCAGATCGAATGTCGTTGTGGCTTCAGAACGTTCTTGATGTTGCCTTTCCAAAATCTGAGGCGGAATTGATATGAATCCAGGGSATATCCAAAAACTATTGAAGGGGGAGTGCACATATATAAATTTTGTGTTGGTCTGTCTGTCTGTCTGACTGACTGAATCATACACATAAAATGAATACAGTATGTATTCCATATGTTATATATTTAATCAGGACTTTCCCAAAGTGGGAGGGTGCACCGCCCCCGCCCCACCCCCACTGGAAAAAATCGCGCCTTTTAAAGGTTGTAAATTTGATGTTAATATGATGTAAGTGTGCAAAATTCTGTAAATTTGTTGTAAATCATCTACATCAAATTTACAGAATTTTGGACACTTACATCATACTTTACATCAAATTCACAACCTTTCAAGTGCGCGATTTTTCCCAGTGCCCCTAGCACCCCTTGGATCCATCCCTGCCATCTTAYCATCTTCGTAGATAGTGCACTGAGAGTTTTACACTACGTCCAAGTGTATCGGGGGGGCAGGGGCGGATCCAGGAATTTTCTAGAGGGGGGAATTTATTTTCCAAATAATATTAAACACCAGAATGCACAAGTTTGCTATTTTCGTGAGTGTTACTTAAATGAAATGAACTAAAGGAAATAAAACGTGTCAAGATACATCAATTTCACATTGGCCACTCTTTAAACTTATACCTATAATGAAATACTTCAGATTTTTTTTACAGTGCTGCTATTGAAACCGGGGCAAAGAAATCACAATTTAACTAATGCCTAGTTTTCGTTAATTAAGTTTATATTTTTAATTATATTGTTTTGAGTTTCTATATTTCAACTAGATACATCAACAGGATTTGAAAACGAAAAATAATATTTTTATCGGATTTTTTTTGGGAAAGGGGATTTTTTTATTATCATAATTTTTTTTTCATTTGGGAGGGGGGAGGGAATATTCCCCGTTTTCCCCTCCCCTGGATCCGCCCCTGGGGGGGACTATTACTTTAGTAACTGATTCTTTTTTGCATAAAAAATGCACAATGCCAATTTATTTTCTAAAACAAAGCRCATCTTCTATACGGTAGTATTTTTAACTGAGTTTTCTCTTCGAGTCTTACGAGATCTATTATTCTTTTCTGCGCTAGATTTGAACATTGCGGAATGCCTGTGCCTAATACAGGAACTCCGCAAACCGCCAAAACGTGCTCGCGCAGACAAACTTTCCATGCCGGGGGTGTCTCGCATTGCAAGCTGTTTTTTCCTTTTTTCTATCTTCAAAATGAAATAAGTAAGTGATGTTATTACTATGTGGATTTGGCATATGGTTTRCAATTATAATTATTAAAGTTTGCAACTCAAAATCTGTTATTGTTCCAGGTGCACATGAACAGCTTTGACGTTCGGGGAACTAACTTAAGTTAATAAGAATGACACCAAACTTAGCGAAAATTACAGCTTCCTGTAAAAATACAAGTGTCAGAATCGAAATGGTAATTCAAAGTAAAGAAGCTTGCGAATTTAGCAGACAATTCAGGTACCTAGAACTCTTCTCAAGCTTTGTTTATTGAACGCCATATTTTTCCTCCTAGCTCTGAAAAATCCTCCTTCCCATAGGCTACCCAACTATTGCTTGAAAGAAAAGAATGAATGCGCACGCTTTTATTATCTTATCGAATGGTCGCGCGCTTGGGTTACCTGTGGTATATTACGTCACGATCCCGTGCCTCGCGGGATACAAACTAGTCTGTGACGAATACGGGAGCCTGTTTGTCATAATTAAATTCTGTCCATTTAAAAAAGCGCAAAAGCTCTTTATTCTTAAAGAATATATCAACAAAGCAGAGTGATAGAGTCGAGGGGGCCTCTTGACTTGTCTTGATCCTCACACTACTAGACTAACACTACTGTGAAAAACTAAATGAAACATTCATTCTAATATTGTATATTACTTATGAAACGTTGAGGTAAACTTGTTCAGGTTTTAAAGAAACTTTTGAAAAAAAAAATCAATTTGACCGAGAAAATCAGAGTCAAAGTTTATGCAAATGAACAAGATCTGTATGTAATATACAACTCTCTTCATGTGTTATGATTTCTATTGTGTTTTGCCTTATGAATATCAATGAGTTTTATAAGTGTTGTTTCTAGAACGAGAATGTGTGTTTTATCGGGATATATAGATTCAAGCCGCAGATAAAGCAGTGATTAACTTGAACATCATTTCTTTATATCTGATATAGAACTGATTAATAAAACATCAGTGCTTTATCAGGATATAAAGGCCTATCATGTGACCCAATAGTTCAATGCTCATAATGAGTTCTAGAAGAGTATTTAAAACAATGAGCTGCTGGTTAAGCAGACTTCATAGAATCATATTTTTCACAGTATAGATCAAACTATTTGGGTAATGTATAAAGAACTAGAAGAAGTGTTTTATTATGGATAAAACGTACTGTGAATTAATTTATATAGCTTAGAAAACACCAACAATAAAGACTCAGACATTTCAGATTTACAAGAAATGTTTGAAACCTCCAGTTATGATTATTTATCAGTATGGCCATCTCCTCATGTGAGAACAATTGAATAAACTCATTTGTTGTCCCACATTGAATACGTGTCACAAAAAGCACTGATGAGAAATGGCTTTTGACAGTTGGAAATGATTGAAACCTTGTATGGGTCAATGATTAAAAATTAAAGCCAACACCATTAGAAGTTGGTACTGTTGAATACAAGTAGTATTGTGCAGGTATCTGTGTGTCTTTATCCAATATACATGTAATAGAACATGTGCCATTACATATAGAGACTGCTGGAAACCCATGTGACTGAATTGGGGTAACCTGATTGGTCCAGTACCTCMTAAATTATTAATGACCTTTTTAATTAAATAACTGCTTGAGTTGTGAATGAATTTGATAAATGTACATCAAATAATTACTTGATTCTCACTGGGCTGTAAAAAAAGCAGTAAAATTTAATTGTTTGAAACCTAAATGCAAAGATAATAATCCTGTATTTAGAAGATGGTATTTTTACTTTTCCTCATGCCCAATCTGGAAGATCCGGATTGAAAAGAAAACTATTCCTCCATTTCTGTTTATTGGAGTCGATTGAATATTTGATTATAATGGACCAACAGAATATATTTTTTTTTAAATAAGAAACTGTAATAAAGGGGTAGATCCAGAATTGTATAAGGGGAGTGCTTTTGTCAGTGATATATAGCTAAAAACTAAGTATAGCAGATGGAACTGATCATTTTGTTTTAGCTGCAAGAAAATTATGCACAATTTGACTGGAAGCAAATTGACRGTTTTATTGCAACCATAGTACTAACTATGTTGCAACGTATCTTTGACTTCACTACTACTCAAATAGATTGTTAAGCAGCATAGTGAMAGACACATGATGTGTATGCTACTCATTTTCTCGATACAAGTACAACAGGAGTATAAACAGCAGAAAAAACATGTTAAGACTGATATATAAAAAAATTACGTCATCAAAGGGGGGGGGGGTGCATCCGCACCCAAAACACCTTGCCTGGATCCGCCCCTGTAATATTTCCTAGTTAAAAAGTGACCACAGCAGATTTCAAGTTGAAAGGGACAGGAGGGATGGTTTCAAGATGGGAGATGATGAGTCCCAGGTGTATTTTCTAAGCACATCACGTTCCAACATAACTGAATCATCAACATATGACCTTTTATAGTTAATTTTGTTTTTATGTGCATTTATTTGCAATCAAACAGTCAGAACAAAACACGGATGTGACGTATAAAGTATAGTTTAGGCTTATGTCATGATTTCTTAAGTGCTATTCTATTATTTCATAATAGCTTTTTTTTTTCTTAAAAGAGATATATAAGATAATAAGATAATCTAGGCTTTTGAAACCACAATAATTACCTAGTAAAATTTCATACTATTTTGCTTAGTAAAATAGTGTAAAAGTATAAAGTATTTTTTTATTTATTTTTTATTTTTTAATTTTGTGCGTCAAGACCAAACGTAGGGTGGTGAAGTAGAGATGAAATTATTTTGTTATTGATTATTTTTATACTGCCTCTTTCGGCTTTCTAATCGTATCTAAAAAACAGCAAAAAAACAATTCGCAGTCTCTCATTGCCTACTCTTGACCCGCAGATGAATTCCGTCTTTTCCACAGCCCAAGATTGTYCTCAGGGTCACCTCGGGAGGGATCTTGGTTTCTGGACCAGCCACGAAGCTGAACTGTTTCAAAATCCTTGCAATGGTGATCTTCATCTGAAATAACGCGTACCTCATCCCGATACAGTTACGAGGCCCATGACCAAACGGCATGTAAGCGTAGGGATCACGTGACTGCTTTGCTTCGGCACTGAAGTGTTCTGGGTCAAACTTGTCGGGATTGTCGTAATACTCTGGATCGCGTTGGATGCTGTAGACTGGGACGAATATGCTTGTTCCTTTTTTGATAGGAAAGCCTTTTATGGTGCAGTCTTTGGTTGCGATTCGAGAAAGAATAAAGCCTTGAAAAGATAGATGCAAAGAGATCAGTTCACAACTCATGATTTTTTATCATGACGCAAAGGTGCCGTTGGACTAGAGAAGCCAATTTATTCCAATTTATTCAGATTTTGGATAAGTGCTCCCTGATTATGTTCAGCAATTATTTTTTGGAAGGYAGAAATACGTAAGAAAAACAACCAGAAGTCAAATGTTGCCGTCTTTAACATCTCTTGAACCAGCTGCGGAATTTTCTTTAGTGTCTTGTAAAAATGTAACTTCCGTCTTTGATAAGCATGGAATTGACTTAAAATCACTTGAAGTTACCCATGATTCACCCGATACTTATATGTTAGCGGTGTTCAGACATAAACATCATGCACATCATTTTGTAACGTTTTYATGTCCCTTTCAATCATGGATGTTCTGAACTTACCTGGAGGATAAAGACGAAGTATTTCAGAGATGAYCATTTCCAGGTAGTTCATGGAATTAACCATGTCATAAGATAGTGGCTGGYCCATGTCACTCCATATGCTATCAATTTCTTCTTGTGCCTTTTCCTGAATGCCAGGAGTAGTGGCTAGATGATGACAGACCAAAGAGAGTGGGTTGCCTGTGTTCTCATATCCAGCAACCATGAAGATAATGCTTTGTGCCAGCACTTCGTCCTCACTCAGTCGTTTTTCTTCTGGTAAGTCGGTATTGCTTGCACTTGCCAACATCATGTCTAGAAAATCCTGTAATAGAAAGTAATGTAAAGCTGTCAGAACGTAGATATGTAAATATCTTTAATTATCTAGACGCTTGAAAAAATTATGATAATAAAAGATACTTCAACATGGTCGGTAGTCGTCCTACTTTTATCTTATAATAGAGGTATGAATAATAGCAAAATATAATTACCTTTTCCTTTCCTTTTGCGGTCTTTTTCTTCAGTTCAATAATGCCCTTGGAAAGACCCGAGAGTTCTCCRATTGAACCAATTAACAGATTCTCCATTAGGGGAAGTTCCTGCAGGTAATTGCTGCAAGGCAAACTCAACAACACGAATAATATCACCCTTTTCCATACACTGATGTTCAGTGCTTTACGMGAAGCAACATAGGCAACGTCATTGTCATCCATTTGGGCATTTGATTCCATGCCAAAAAATGATGACAATATTGTTTCCATGGTTAAGCCTTGAAAAAATCTGAAAGAAATGTGAAAATTGTGATTTTTCAACTCAGTTGAGMATATAACTGCGTAGATGTAGAGGCCACCAGCTCGCTAAGCTTTACTGAGAGTTCTGATTCCAGGGGCGGATCCAGGGGGTGGGTGCAGGGGGTGCGCATCTCCTCCTGATATCTATTTCTTTCCATACTTTCCTTATTAATTTGCATCTTCATGGTATGATTTTTGTGGGGTGCACCCCCTCCTGAGAGACCCGCACCCATCCCTGAGGAAAATTCTGGATCCGCCCCTGGATGGTGTGTTGGATTTTGAAAACAAAATACAACACAGCAAAATAATAATAATAAAAAACAACTACAAAAACGTTTCCCCCCGAAACGTAGTAGGTATGGATATGTAGAAGACAGTTTGATTGAGAAGTGAAAGTTTGGCCGGGGCAAGGATGATATTAACTTACTTGTATACATTGACGGACTGGTCAGATTTTTCAGCATCTTGTAGTTTCTTGATCAGTACATCACAGGACTTGTTTAAYAATGGAACCATCACTTTCATTTTGTGACCACTAAATGTTGGTGACAAGGTGGTACGAATACGGTGCCATGTTTGGCCAGTAGCGGATGTCATCATGCTGTCCAAAGGCTTGGAAAACTTCACAATCGACTTTAAGTAAACAAAAACACACCATAAGACGTAACTAATAGCGAAACCACAAAATCAATAAGGAATTAATGAAACGTCAAATTTGCCAATAATTCTCAAACATTTTTGAAAGCCATGGTTGCTCATGCCGAATCCTTTTTAAAATCAGTTATCAATTGAACAATCGAAATATATGAGACCATATTAGACTAGTCTTGCCGTCACTGGATTTGAATACCATAACTTTATTCCAAGCAACGTAKACTAACAATTTCTATTGGGAAACCAAAAATATTATTAAAAAATATCAAAAATTTTGTTTCCCTTTGTTACTATGCTGCTAAGTCATAGTGTACTAATTTTATCAAGCATATTGGGATATAAATGATCAATGATATATAATATTTTTAGCGAAAAAGCTTTTTCTCCCCTCCTCCTCCACACTACCCCCCACCACTACCTCCATCACCAAGCACCCCCCCCCCCCCCCCCCCCCCACCAAAAAAAAAACTTTGCACGGGTAAACAGCTTCMAGCAAGCTTGTGTGATCTCCGAAAYAACTTTAATCGAKGGGAATTGGCAGGSCARAATATATTAAAGTTTGTGCGCAGACATGACAATGTTCAATTKTATCATGATCATTTTCAATCTTTTTTTGGTCCACGRTMGTTTCTGTTTACTTACGGGACGGTCGTGAAAGCTCTGAAACTCCTTCACCAACAATTCCTTAACCATTTCGATGTCGCCCATCACAATGCATGGGTCTCTACTCGCTAGAAACGTTGTAAAAAGGCGACCATACTTCTTGTAATAGTGATCGAACTGTAAGTGTATTTCTCCTTTATAAACGAACAAATCCAAGGCGTTACCTAAAAACGGTAATGGAGTTGGACCTGGAAGGTCTCCRACTTGAGCAACTACGACAGATCGCCTGTAYGGAGCGATTCCCCAGTAAATGACAAGACATATTAGCAAAATATAGATCCAATAGGCCGGTAATATGGAGAGAACTGAGCTCAGTACTTCCATGTCGATGGATTCGTGACTCAAGCTCAGTTGTACAGCTTCTCTCTGATTTATGTTTACATTAGATTTATAGGTCTTATAGATGCTGATGTCACTTTCTAAGTTTGTTTCTCTGGGTGTCTGGTYCCCYCCYCCCCCCCTCCCTCCACCTCAAAATTCTAATGGATCGCCCGCCCCTAAGCAGCATGTACATGGAGTCTAGACGAGGAGGGCCATCATGAGTTTATAAACAAATGTGGGGAGGGGGTTCACCTGTTTATTGTGCAGTGTTGCTGAGAATGTAGTAATATTACTTTATACATAGTAATTTGGTGATATGTAGTTAGGAAATTAAATAATTTAACTGTTTCCCATATAAACTCTGTAAAACAAACTTTCTCGTAAGCGAACATCTCTCGTAAGCGACCACTTTTTCCTGATCCCGAGGTGGTCGCTTACGAGAGAGTTGACTGTAACAGAAAGAAATCCCATGAATACAGAAAGAAGTCACGATATTGAGAGCAATATGCTTTGCCGTCCGTCAGTGTAAAATATTTAATGAAAATTGCAAACAAACCGGCCTAGAGTTCGCTGAGGGGTTTTCATTGCTGGTTCGAGCTGCTTGTCATTGTCGCGCTCACTCAGACTCGGACTGTGAACTGCTATTATTAGCAACAAGGACCTGGTCGTATACGTCTATTATTCTGCAYCCCCGGATATTTATGTTGTTTGAGGTCTGTTGACATGTCTGTTGTTATGTTTTATGTCTCTTCTTTAACTACGCACATCCTGTCGACGTTTCTTGACTCTTTGTCGATATTTGTGACTTTTCTTCGAAGCCTTATCGAATAAACAGTCTATAGCACTAGTAACCGACTAGAAAAACATCGGACTTCTGGAGAAATATATTAGCATCGATCTTTACTTCAAAAATCATATGGAAAGCTTTTGATTTCCAAGAATAGATTATTCCCCCACTCCCCTTATCCCTCTTGGAAATCAACGGGAATTATTTGACATCGATTTCTCATAACTGGCAAAACCCATGGCCACGTCACTTCATCCGTGCGCATGATACATCGGGCACTTAACAACCTGAATAATTTACCAAGTGACCTTTGTTGCGATTGTGGGTATTTTTCTTTTCGTCCTCTTTTCTTTGATCCTTGATCGAGTTGCAGAGTTCCCACTCGCTGTGCTAAGAGTCTTATAGCTTGAAGTAACTCTCCAACTCGCCACTTGTTCGACCAGTGGTCGTTGTTGCAGTCGTCATCGCTACTAGGTCTTATCTGCATCCAGCCAAAGCGAAGATTTTCTTGTGGTCGCGTGACGTCCCGGCCAGTACTGCGCTGTCGCTGCTTATCGATGACATTTTGTAAGGGTGTTGACCACTTTCTTTGAATTGCGTTTTAAACGCATAGACTACACTACGAACACTGCGATATAAAACGCTATACGACGTAAATTCAAAGAATAACATTTATAGAATGCCCTCGTGACAGGTGACCTGCTGCTCCGTATTATGTTAATACACGTCGCTAAACCACGAGCGACGAAAGAAAACAACCTCCTTTACTTTTCCTGTTCGCGTCCTGGCACAGAACCATATTTACGGACACAGAGCTCAAAAGGACGACACTACTCCGAAGGAACATCAAAATCATTCGCTGAGCGGGACGAGTTTCCCCGTTTGAAAGCTTGAAAACCAACTATTATTTTGGAAATGGAACCCCAACGCCGTCTTCCATTAGTTCATCTTTTTGCCATACAGCTCATCATCATCGCGGGATATCTTACTTTCATGAATAACATTTTGATGTTTGATCTCAATATCAATATATTCTCACGTCAATGGTATGATAGCTGGAAAGATTCCGATAGTTCAGACGATCTGAAAACTCCACCATACTGCGAGGTTGTATTCAATCGCTCGACCGTGCTGGGTGAGTTTAAAAAATCAATCGCAGACAAACCTCAAGCGTTGTTTGTGCATTTCAAGGGAATAAGTAGATCTGATTTACAGAAGCTGAATTTTTATCCAAACAATAATGATTTATTTTTGGATCCTTTGAATCTTGTTTGGGTTGAAAAAACGACAGCACCATTCCTGGCGCTTGATTTAGGCTTCAATGTTTATTCATTCACGACGTTATGGCGGAAAGTACGCAGTATGTCAATGATGGTCAAATTTGAGTCGCCTGAATGCTTCACTAAGAATATGACTGGTAATTATAGTAGTCTTATATCAAGCTTGGCCACAGCGTTTTTAACTGAAGTCAGTGAAAAGAAAGGTGCTCTKTGTTACTTGAAGGGCTATGTTCAGGGCTATGATAAGTATAGATGTTGCCAAAATAACGTCACTACGCGGCGCATTGAATGTGACATCCCTGCTTCTAACCCCCAGATGACTGGAGTTTTCTATACAATAGTGATTTTCGCAGGAATATTTTTCCTGTGTTTTCCTGCAATCTTCGTTAGCTTCCCAGATGAGAAGGASAGTTCAGATACTTTAAGTGCCAACACCCAAGTGAGCAATCCTTTGTATCGTATAGCAAACTGTTTTGTCCAGAAAATGAGACGTTGGTCGGCTAAATACTATCTTGTACACGTGATAAAAAGGCTACTCGTCGGGTTGTTACTGCCTTTGTTGTTTTACATTGACTGGTACCTCACATTGTACTCCGCCAAATACGACATTCCAAAGATGTTTAATGGTTCACAACCTGAAGACAATTTTTATTGGGATGGATCTGTTATGGAGAGATGGGAGTATAAAGCGTTGCTTATGCGAACACCACTTGACTTGGCCTGTGGATATGGTAGTCTAATTGTAATTTATGCCTTACTTCCTCGACCTGAAAACATTGACTTTACCCCTTCACATGATAATTATCGGAAAAGCGTTGAATGTAATTATTCCTTAATTCGTTTTTCACAAAACAAACATTTTGAATTGGATTGGATAAAACCCAGCTGGRATTTGATTCAGACGTCTTTCAAGAAATTTTGTTTTGGCTTTAAAGGATTGCGGAATTATAATGGTCACACCTCACTTCTCTGGAGAATGACTAAGTTTGTAGCCAGCTGTCTTCTACTGACCGCATTTCCTTTTCTAGCTGTATATATTTTCATTGGTTATGGTTTGTACATCTCACCATTGGGCCGAGAGATCGCTTTTTTATCTTGCCAAGCAGATATCTACTTTCATTGGTGTGCATGGCGCTTGACAACGTTATATATACGCATAAAAAAATACTTCGGAAAATACCAGAACACTGATAAACCAAATCGTTCATTTGCTATGGCTGTCCGTGTTATAGGCTTAGTTATTTTAATGAGCCCCATTGTTTATTTTGGCGGATTAATAATCGCTTTCTCGCTACTATTAATCTCAAGACTCACSACGCACCTCTACATGGGAATAGTGGCTAGTAAAGATGTCTTTTTGCCTCATATTACCTTATTTTCCCTTTTTCTGTTTTACATTTGGAACTGCATCGCCTCTGTTGGAAATACATACAAAGATCTTCTAGACCAAACATTCGACACGTGCAAAGACTACCAAACAGATGAAAGCAAACAGATCATAATAGTGGACAAAGGAATACCAAGGATTTCCCGTCTGAGTGACCTGTTTCAAAGAGTTGTCGACGAAATCCTGCCATTTAGCAAGGCCTATACCATGATGTGTTTTAAAATAGTGATGATCGGATTATTTTTGATTCTGACCTATTTTTCCATCTTGGTATTCGGGAAAACAAGTTTAAACGATTTTACACAAGCTTTTGCCGTCGCTTTGGGCGGGCTTCTCCCGAAATTTGTCGAAATGTTTGGCAGTAAAAATTCCAGTCAATTGGTAGATAAAGAAAACACATATAGAGTCAAGAAGATAGTGTATAGCTTCTTTGATTCTGAGGATGCACGCGCAGYGAAGAAAGACGAAAAAGGCCTTTTAGACAATGACTTGCAGGACAGAAACCCAGGAGAAATCACCAAAGTTTAAAGGTAAAAGAAAGAGTTGAAGTGGATGTTGACATGCATCCGGGTCATTTAAAATAACGATTGAAACATTGGAATTTTCTTTTGCGTGCCGTGGACCGCGAGGATAATCTGAGRGAATGAAACTTTTGAAGGGAAGGTACACCGTAGTTTGCACTCGCAGAAAGGATATAACACATTTTATGCATTAAGCTGTATTAGAGACAAGCAGGGTCGGATCCAGGATTTTTTTTAGGGGGGTGATTTTTTTTTAGAGAGCTAACATTTAGAGGTAGGTATTATGATAACCTAAAAGTTATCATTTACCAAGACTAATTACGTGTATGCTCGTTTTTTTACCCAATAATTTACTATTTCCTAAGTTTGCATTATCATTTCATTCGAGAAAAGGGGCGTGACTAGTCACCCAATTCACCGCCCCCCCCCCTCTATCCGCCCCTGACAAGTCATACAGAACTAAACGTGATACAAGGTGTTAAGCCGCAATGTTTGATCCATGATCACTGAAATGAGTCTATTCTAATTATAATATAACAATAGAGATTAGTTTAGAAGAAATTATGAAATTAGAGTTTGTAAGACCTTGTAATCATAAAGAATTGTGATAGCACACATGGTACTTTTGTAACCCTGAGGATGAGCCAATAGGTCAGAAAGCTTAGTGAATAAAAACAAAATTGGTTGATGAAACAAAAGTACCATGAGTTCAACCAACACTACTTTATTTGACTTAATAGTGATAGCATTCAAACAATCACTTTAATCGTATCCATGGGAACCTAGACTCAAGAATTGTTACTAGACGCTCTAATAAGCGCGAACTCGTGTCCTGAAATGCCACTGGGGTTTAGGGAGGTATTAAATTTGTATTGATGTTTTCGATGGGCACTGTATTTTTTAGGCCCCAATCCCTAATGGTGAAATTTTCATTTTTTGCTCCACATCTAGTAACCACTTCAACTCGATCGAGGTTTCTTGTTGATACCCATCAATACAATTGTTACGCGGCATTGTTTTGAAATATAGCAAAATAAACTTTACAAGTGGATTAGGTAAGGACCAAGGCTAGGTATGGGTGGTCGCGCTTAGAACGAAGATCGGCCAAGGAATCGGAAAGCCCCGTAAGGTCACGCGTCCGATCATTCCCAGCCCGGCAAATAGCGTAAATCATGAAAAATGGCAAAGTAGAAGTAAAAAAGTATTTGTTTGTAGTTATGTTCGCTATTTTGGAGGGCTATATGTGGTACCATCAGTCAGTGGCACATCTCTCACGGGATGTCTAAAACCAGACAAAACCAAACCCTTTCCAGAATGTTCTAATCCCAGAAAAGGAAARGMTTGGCTGCAAATTCATGTGGGGTAAATTTTAATATCTCAGGTAAAACCCAAACACTGTCTAATTGTAGCACATATAAGCCGAACAGATTGTAGTAAAAAATAGAAGAAGGAGAAAGACGAACGAGTCTCTGAATAAAGAAAGAAACAAGCAGCCCAGTGTCTCTGTGAACATACTGCTAACACAATCATCACTTGAAGTGTTTTCTCACTATAGAGCCTGATTTCGAATTATAAACTCTTTTCATGCGGACTTGTTCATACTGGCTGGAAAACTCTAGGTAATTATAGGTTATTAGCTATCCTGAGTTTCCAGGCCAATTTTGAATTCGGTAAGGGATTTTCTCGTACGATTTCAAAGGGCATTCATCAGGGGACACAAATTGCCCACATCTTTGTYAGCGAGAGTTCTCTTTTCCCCGATAGACAGAAGAAAGAGCACAGAGCTCGAAARAGAGCCGCAAAAGAGTGACACTATATATATATTTATTTACTTCTTTAATATTTATGTGTACTAACCGTATCGGGTCTTAGGCGCATATATATATGATATATCTTTTCCCCGCGATTTTACGAGCGGTTCGTGGAAACAAGATGCCAGCTCCAGCTGGCTTGGCATAATTGTATAATTGCTTTTCCTTTGTATTTTCCGTCAATGAAATCATTAGATATTGTGCTGCACTTTCGACGACAAGCTAACTTCTCGATGATTCAATATTACAACAATTTCCAAGTTATTTTTATTTTGTCAAAACTTAGCATTATGAATCGCTTTTCATCATGTCGTCATAATCACAAATTAACACAGTTATTGGCACTTCTTTCAAACTTTTTTTACAAAGACAATTACCAGTCTCATTGCCTACTCTTGACACGCAGTTGTATTCCATCTTTCCCACAACCCAAGATTGTCCTCATTTGGACTTCAAGAGGAACTTTTGTCTCCGGACCAACCACCAAGCTGAACTGTTTCAGAATCCTTGCTAGAAACAATTTCATCTGAAATATTGCGAACCTCATGCCGATACAGTTACGAGGMCCGTGACCAAACGGCATGTAAGCGTAGGGATCACGYGACTGCTTTGCTTCGGCACTGAAGTGTTCTGGGTCAAACTTGTCGGGGTTTTGGTAATACTCTGGGTCACGTTGGATGCTGTAACCAGGGACGAGTACTACTGTACCCTTTTTGATGGGAAGGCCTTTTATGGAACAGTCCTTAATGGCGATACGAGCCAGCATAAATCCTGGATTACAAAACGTTTACAATGAATTTCTTACAAAATATAATTTATTCTAAAATTATGATGCATCTTAGTACTAGAATCAAACGTGGTTAGATGGGTCTGATAATGATAGTTATATTTCAGAGGGATGATTGAAGAAAGTGAATTCTGCTCTTAAGATTTTTCCAATGAACTCCTTGGCGTCTTTCGGACAAAAATTGCGCCCTTATGGGTAAGAACGTTTATATATAACAAGCACATATTTGAGAGACTGGATTAAGGGAGAAAAGGGAGTCAACACAATAGCGMTCAAAGCGCACCAAGCAGTAGTGGGGATTGTTTGTCGACCCTTTCCAAGCTAAAAAGAAATAGAATAAAGTGCAGTGTGTGAAAATTTGTTTAGACTTTTTTCGCCAACTTTGAATCTTTTGGCATTTTAAAAAACAAAAGAATATGACAAAGAATATGACAAGAGAGGGGAGAAGCTCACACAAACTCAAATCTTGGATATGCCCATGACGTGAAAGACCAGTAATTTGACTGGTCTACATCTGTCACATTGCCCTTTTGTCCTGGTCTACAGGTTTTGATACTTACCTGGAGGATAAAGACGAAGTGTTTCAGAGATGATCATTTCCAGGTAGTTCATGGAATTAACCATGTCATAAGATAGTGGCTGGTCCATGTCACTCCATATRCTATCAATTTCTTCTTGTGCCTTTTCCTGGATGTCTGGATTAGTGGCTAGATGATGACAGACCAAAGAGAGTGGGTTGCTTGTATTCTCAAATCCAGCAAGAAGGAAGATGACGGTTTGTGCWAGMACTTCATCTTCAGTCAGTCTTTTTTCCTCTGGTAAATTGGCATTGTCAGTGTTTTCAAGCATCATGTCTAAGAAATCCTGACAAAAAAAGTTACTGACATTAGTCTTTTTAACTGATGCAATCTGAATAAAATAACTTGACTGAAAAAAGACAAAAACAAAAATTTCATTCGGCATCAGCCACCATGATGTAAAATTTTTCCATATCTACTTTAAATGTTTCATAAATATAGTTTATGTCACAGACAGAAAATTATCATGTACCTTGCTAGCTCTTCCATTTGCTGCAGCCTTTTTCTTCACYTCAATCATTTCTTGAGACAAATCCACAAGTTGAGTAAAGTTACCAATTACTATGTTGTTAAGCATGGGGAGTTGCAATAACTGCTTACCACCCGGGAGCGATAAGATTACAAATATAAACAATCGTCGCCAAGCAGCTGAACCCATTGCTTTACGTGCAGCAGCATAAGCAATGTCATCGTCATTTGTCTGGGCATTGGATTCCAAGCCAAAAAATGATGACAAGATAGTCTCCATTGTCAAGCTTTGAAAAAATCTAAAAAWATATATATTATATTATTAACAATTTAGTTTTATCACCAGTTATTTAGTAATTTACTAATCAATCTCTGTCTGTGAGTTCCATGAGGTATTATGAAAGRTATCTATGCATTTGTACCAAAGAAAATTGACC